TATATATTATTACTATATTTTTACTGGTTCTGGGGCTCCGATTGTGACTTAATACTGTAATTTATATATTATTGAATATTTACTGGTTCTGTGGTCCACAGTGCAAATCATTATCGGTTCTAGCGACTTAATACTCTAGAAATAGGTTTGTCATTAACATCTTAATCCAACATTATACATACATGAATAATTCTTAACTTAAATGTTATGTTTGAAAAATGAGAAACAAACAAAATTAGGTAAACAAAAGAGTCAGTGATGGCATTAATATTTTAACATATTTTATACACACTTACATAAATAAATAAATATATATACATGTAAACAGGTGGATAATATACACACACACACACACACACATACATATATATATATATATGTAAACAGGTGGATAATACACACACACACATATATATATATACATGTAAACAGGTGGTTAATACATATTCTTATATGGTAAGGCAGCTTATGGTCGATAACATTTCTATATGTCCTGTGTATAAAACCAAAGAACTTTCATTAATAAATGTTTTAAATTACTGGAGGAGATGATTTGGTATACATGAAAAGATCACAGAATCCAACTGAAAACCATCGAACGAGGTTAGCCGATCATTTAATCAATTATGGACTTATATAATAGATTTGGAGTTTGCGTGTGGTTGAGACATTGGAAGAGACACTGTGAACTTGACGATGTCTTTGAAGTGGTAACGTTTTGAATAGATACGCAGACTTTTTGCTCCATCTGGCGGTGCTTCATGTAATAAAAGATGTTTCAGAAAGAGATACCATGCTTTCCGTCTTGAGCTGCAGTTGTTTAGTGGACAATGTTAAGCTCCGAATCCTTCGATTGGTGCGTACTTTCCACAACTTACAGCTGTGTCTCACCCGTGGGTTGTTTATTGATGTAAATACGTTTGTTCTCTTAGTCATTTTATTGTGGAACTGCAAGTAAACTGAATTACAATCTAGTTCACAAGCAGTGCTCACTCGTTCAAACTGAACTACAATGAAGTTCATAAGTAGTGCTCACTCGTTCAAACTGAACTACAATCTAGTTCACAAGCAGTGCTCACTAGTTCAAACTGAATTACAACGAAGTTCACAAATAGTGCTCACTCGTTCAAACTGTATTACGATCAAGTTCACAAGTAGTGCTCACTCTTTCAAACTGAACTACAATGAAGTTCACAAGTAGTACTCACGCTTTCAAACTGAACTACAATGAAGTTCACAAGTAGTGCTCACTCGTTCAAACTGAACTACAACGAAGTTCACAAGTCGTGCTCACGCGTTCAAACTGAGCTACAATGAAGTTCACAAGTAGTGCTCACTCGTTCAAACTGAACTACAACGAAGTTCACAAGTAGTGCTCATTCGTTCAAACTGAACTACAATGAAGTTCACAAGTAGTGCTCACTCTTTCAAACCGAACTACAATGAAGTTCACAAGTAGTGCTCACTCGTTCAAACTAAACTACAACGAAGTTCACAAGTAGTGCTCATTCGTTCAAACTGAATTACAACGAAGTTCACAAATAGTGCTCATTCGTTCAAACTGAACTACAATCTAGTTCACAAGCAGTGCTCACTCGTTCAAACTGAACTACAACGAAGTTCACAAGTAGTGCTCACTCTTTCAAACTGAACTACAATAAAGTGCACAAGTAGTGCTCACTCGTTCAAACTGAACTACAATGAAGTTCACAAGTAGTGCTCACTCGTTCAAACTGAACTACAATAAAGTGCACAAGTAGTGCTCACTCTTTCAAACTGAACTACAATAAAGTGCACAAGTAGTGCTCACTCATTCAAATTGAACTACATCCAAGTTAACTTTCTGCGATGGTTTTTTGGGTTATCTTCAAAACCGCATGTGATTTTGTACAGAGCTTTCAGTGAAATACATTGGTCTATGTTATATCATCGTATCAAAACGATATTTTAAAATAGGAATAAAAATGATATATACTTCCAGTTCATGGTTCTGTTCCCACTAGTTTTTTTGTTTTTTTTTGTAAAACATGGGAATATCTAATTACACAAACAGTTTTATTTAAGGCTAAGTTGAAACCTAGTTTCAAAATGTTAAAGAAGGAAACCGATACACACAACCTTGTCAAAGTTACAAACACAGCATTTTTAAAAGTTCACAAATTTCCAAACGTATTTCGAAATCATCAGCTCTCTTTATGAAAAAGATGGCAAAAAAAACAACAACAACAACAACAAAACACAGTAATTCCGCTGGACCACGTACCCGTCATATCCTGTGATACAGTTCCAATGGACCTGGCCCGGCATGGCCAAGTGGCTAGGGCACTCGACTAGCAATCTGAGGGTCGCGGGTTCGAATCTCCGTCCCACCAAACATGCTCGCCCTTTCAGCCGTGGGGGCGTTATAATGTGACGGTCAATCCCACTATTCGTTGGTAAAAGAGTAGCCCAAGAGTCGGC